TAAATACTTTATTATAATAAAAATTATAATAAGACGAACTCAGATAAACCATATATTGTCATAGTCGTGTGTTTATTAGTCACGTTGAATTAATGAAAGCAGTTAAATCTTCTGTTTATTCAGCAAACCCTATAGTGATTTCCTGGGTTTCTTCAGCTGGTGTATTTGGAGTTTCTGCACGAGAGCGCCCTCTGGCCTTCGGATGGAGATTTACTGCTGATCACAGAACCATGCTTCACTGAAAGATACGCATGACAATCGCAGCTTCTGCCTAATCGTGATTTATCGCCTTTGCGATTTAATTTTGATTAATCATGCAGACCTAGCTTATACAGTTAAATGAAATTGTGTTTTAAAAGTTTAACAACCAATAATGTTTAAGAACAAATGTGAAAAGTAATTGGGTGGTGTTTCTGTATTTTTTTTTTTTTTTTAATTCTCCTGCCAGCTAATTTAGCAGTAGACAGCCAAAACCATCAGGCTGAGAGCCATAATAAACTGTGAAAGTTGGGAATAAATGATGTATTACAGTGAATCGAAAAGATTTTACCCTCTCCGATGAATGCGTCTATAATCACTCACTTATAAGCATTCTGAAGCGCCATTCCTGGTTGTTCAGTCCCAGCTCATTGGTCACCGTTCGAGTGATTTGGATTTGAGAGAAAACACTCAGACAAAAACGTACAGTTTTAAAAGAATGTGCTCCTCACTGCAGTTAGTTTCAAAGTTCTCTCTTATGAGATTCGACGTTTCATAAGTGCCGAGAACACAAACATGTTCGTTTCAGGCACCGCTTTTTCAGTTTCAGTTCTTCCCGCTCATCACGGTCCAGTTTTAAAAGAATGAGCTCCTCGCTGAAGTCAGGATCAAAGTTCTTACTCGTACTCAAATTCATGTGAAACACTCGTTCAGCGCCATTGAGCTATTGCTTCAAATGGACAGCCCACAATGCATTGCGTAGTACAAAACCATAATACATAAAATACAGTAGATTAGTGTTGAAAATGGGCTGTAAACTAACAGCAGTTGCTTACCGTGAACATTATTGCCTAGAATGCATTGTTTTCTACAGTACATTATTGTATTAATGGAAAACAGTATATTATTGTCAGAATTTGGCAGTTTTTTTACAGCTATTTTTTTTACAGTGTTCCCTTAGCATCAAACTTTGATGTGTAAGTCCTCACACACCTTCTGTGGTTCCTCAAAATTTGTGACGTTTTGAGGAAAGGTGTGCTATTACTTTTCTAAGCCAACCAAACTGGACCTAGAAATGATCTAGAATCCCCTTGGAAGCAACATGCTTCAAATCACTCAAAACACATTAGCAACCTCAAATCAACACCCTGACAATCACCCACAACACATTAGCATTTTGATGGTGACTTTTGCATGGTTAAGCACTAGTCACATTTTCATGTAAAAAATGTAAAAAAAATAAATAATAATAACTACCAATCAAAGGTTTGGGATCAGTAAGACTTTTTTAAAAGAAATGTACTTTTATTTGTGATGGTAAAGACATGAATAGACAAAAGTCTATTTCAAATAAATGCTGATCTTATGAACTTTTTATTCATCAAAGAATCGTAAAATGTATTATGGTTTTCTAAAAACAATTATGAAACAGCAACTGTTTGCAACATTGATAATAAGGATACATTTTTCTTGAGCAGCAAATCAGCATATTAGATTGATTTCTGAAGGATCATGTGACACTGAAGAATTGAGTGATGGCTGCAGAAAATTCAGTTTTGCCATCACAGAAATAAATTACACCTTAAAATACATTAAAATATAAAACAGTCATTTTAAATAGTAATAATATTTCATAATATTGCTGTTTTTACTGTCTTTTTAATCAAATAAATGCAGCCCTGGTGAGCATTAGAGACTTCGAAAAACAAGAAATCTTTCTGACCCCAAACTTTTGAATTTATTTTCTTGAACAACCATTCTCTCATATCTCATTTTCCATGCCTTTGCAATTTGAGATAATTAAAGGGATAGCTCACCCAAAATAAAAATGTCATTATTTTCTTGCCTATATGTTGTACCATTCTTCTGCATTACACAAAAGAAGATATTTTTTTAATTGTTTTCCAATGAAGTTTTGGACCCCATTGTCTTTCACTGTGTGGACAACAACAGCTGAAATATTCTTCAAAATATCTTCTTCTATGATCCGCAGAAAGTCATTTAGGTTTGGAATGGGTGAGTAAATGACGACAGAATTTTTGGGCTGAACTATCTCTTTAAAGTTTAAGCCATAGACTGAAATAAGAATTCAGAGCTTCATGGAGAGTCTGGGTTATATAGAAATTCACTGTAGTGGGTCTTGCTGATATAAAACAGTCATTTTAAATAGTAATAATATTTCATAATATTGCTGTTTTTACTGTCTTTTTAATCAAATAAATGCAGCCCTGGTGAGCATTAGAGACTTCGAAAAACAAGAAATCTTTCTGACCCCAAACTTTTGAACGGTACTGTATTTTCTTGAACAACCATTCTCTCATATCTCATTTTCCATGCCTTTGCAATTTGAGATAATTAAAGGGATAGCTCACCCAAAATAAAAATGTCATTATTTTCTTGCCTATATGTTGTACCATTCTTCTGCATTACACAAAAGAAGATATTTTTTTAATTGTTTTCCAATGAAGTTTTGGACCCCATTGTCTTTCACTGTGTGGACAACAACAGCTGAAATATTCTTCAAAATATCTTCTTCTATGATCCGCAGAAAGTCATTTAGGTTTGGAATGGGTGAGTAAATGACGACAGAATTTTTGGGCTGAACTATCTCTTTAAAGTTTAAGCCATAGACTGAAATAAGAATTCAGAGCTTCATGGAGAGTCTGGGTTATTGAGAAATTCACTGTAGTGGGTCTTGCTGGGACATGCAGTGAAGACACCCACAATCAGGTGACAAGTATTCGTCACAGAGACATTAAACAACCACCAACTGAAAGCTAAACTGCTATTTTAAGCGAAACACTCTGTGTTAACCATCATGAATTAACTTAACTGCCGAGAGGCTGAAATGGAGAATTGGTCTCTTACCGTTTAGCCTCTTCCAAATGGCACAGGTATTCATAGGCCATGTTCTGTTGACGCCGCTCATCCATCTCCTCAGCAGTGAGCCGCTCGATGCCATCCAGAACAGCTAAAATGAGAGGGGCAAGATATACAAGACGTGAGATTAAAACACACACTTCAGAGAGCTGGAGATACGGAGATGGGTTTGACACACTACCATTCAAAGGTTTGAGGTCAACAAGATTCCCATTCAGCAAAAACCCATTAAATTGATCAAAAGTGACAGTAAAGACATTTATAATGTTACAAAAGATTTCGGTTTCAAACCTACATTACCCTTCTTGTAAGTAATAACTAGTTTTAAAACATAAGAGAAATATGCCATTTCATTTGTGAAACAATCTGTTTCTGAACAAATCATTATCATTCATTTCCATCTCTCAGTCTGAATTAGAGTGTGACACAGTATGTAAACAGATAGAGTTATCCAGAACACCTACATTAACAACAACAATGTTTGGTTAGTTTGTCATGCAAGTCAATCCTGCAAAGAAGCAAAGACGGGACGGAATAATTCTGAATGTGTAAAAGTTACTGATAACCATCCAGAATTAGAGTCACCTAAAAACATTACTTAAAGGGGTAAATCACTGCTGGTGACATGACTAGAGAAAACAGAAAAAGGGATGTGACATTTCCAAAACAGTTGGAAACCTTCAACATCCATAATGCACTAGGCTTAATGTGAGCGGGATACAACATCAACGACATCATCAAGCGAACTTTTACTGGTAAATAAATGGGGATATCCAAGTGCAGTTAACACGGAGTAAAAGTACATCTTATTCATGTACATATACTACTACAGGCATATACTATTAAGATTGTAACAATACAAAGCTGGTTGAAAATCTGTGACTTACTCATTAAACTATTTACTTAGACTGTCATTTTGATTGTATGGTTTGATTAAACTTGTGCAGTTTAAAACCTTTGCCTTGTCCAAATACCCGCACTTGCGGTCTTTGCACGTGACCACTTGACTAATTATATGACGTATTTCCTGTATTTGGTCCAAGTGTTCAAGTGAGCAGGAAGACAACAAGTGTGTGTAGAACGTTTCATTACCTGATAGGACACACTTATAGTGTTGTAAAAATGCAAGAGTTTACAGAGCTTTATTTTTATTTTCAATACTTTGCATTTTAAAATCAACTTCTAAATGTCTGTTCAGTGTCTCTATAACAGATGACAATTTAATTTTGTGGTGCTTCTAATTAAGTCTTTTTTTAAAGATTTATATGAATCTTTATATGAAACAGAATATGTTGACATGCTTTAATGTTCAAAAAACACATTATTTTTCGAATACTGTACATTATTGTAGGTCCTCTATGCCCCGCCTCTCTCAAAAGCGTCTTCACAACATGGCGGCAACAACAATACTACAGCGAGAATAAAAGTTACGGCCTTCTTTCTTTGCGTGAACATTTGGGCGGCGTTATGCAAATCTTCCCACATAGTGAGGTAGGTATGTGGGGGCGTGAGTTCGAACGAGCCGATTTAGGTAGGTGTGGCTGACTCTTAACTTTTATAAAGAATATCTCTTTGGATTTGAGACTTTAGTCTTTGCAACTTTACAGATCTTCTTTATGCACCAAGAGCTTGTAACACTCCAAAGAGAAAGGAAAAATTTAAATCGCATCATATGACCCCTTTAACGATGCAACTTGCTGAAAGCGCCACTGAACGAGTCAGCGAGACAATCTAAGTGAATCTTTTAGTGAATTGATTTAGAAGATTCAGTTTACTGGGATGAATCACAATTCTCTGCACTAAAGTGGCATACTTTATATTTCAAGCTTAGAAAATTGAGTGGTCTGGCAGCTGTCTCCTAGTAAAATAGATCATTGAAACTGTATTAGTACCAGAAACAGTTAACCGCCTTCACAGTAGCAAAGTAACTCTCCATAAAAAGTCAGTTTGGTAGATATAAATAGCAGTATAGTAGCAAAGAATAAATAGCAGTACGCGATACACAGAGGCTTTTTTGGAGTCACTGGGAGGGACGTTTGACCTTCATTTGGGCGTTTGGTGATTAGTTTTCTGCTTATAATAAAGACACGCAACACTTCTAACGTTAGGTGAGTGAGAGAGAGCTTCATTGTGGGCTAGATCTGGCTACTTGACAAAAATGTTTCTCCAACGATCTTGTCTAGTTTACAGACATGCAGACAGTATGTTGCACAGTCGTTTGATGCGCAGTTTATGTAATCTTGATTAGTACTGCGGTTCAGCAGAGAGAAAGAGTGAGGATGTTGATGCTTTATGTAAAATTACAGTGAAAACAAGACGCTTGATTGTTCAAAAAAGTTGTCCAGGTGATCCCGCTCAGTTGTGCCCCGCACATACAGTATTATAAATGCGGAAGTTGTAAACCATGCCGATGCAAACTTGAGCATTAAAAGAATGGGCAATTGGATAAAAACAACAAAATCAACAGAATAACACTCTCTTTGGATTAAAGCAGTTGCATTCATTGAAATGAATAGCTTTCTTGTAACACACTGAGCATCACGTTTCAGGAGAACGCCTGAAGAAAACGCATTAATACTTACACCCATATCTAGGTCGGAAACCGTCTGTCTCGTCCGAAGTTGACATGTCTTCTCAAAAAGTTTACAAGTCCTATTTCCCTTGTGAGTTCTCGATGCAGATCTGAGTCCTTTAGGATTTATATTTAGACCTCGAGAAGGCACCTCTGGCCCCCTTCTTACTTTGCTGCACAGTTTCAGCGACTTTTTTTCTTGAAAACCCACTGATGTCATAGGCGTGTTCCTTCCTAAATCCTGAAGTATGCGTTTCAGGAAACACCCATTTCAAGAATATCGGTTCAAAACTTTTAACTGTGACTGCAGCGCCCTCTACTGCCCACATTGCTCATAGTCTGCCACAGCACTTTGTGATTCTCCAGCAGAGGGCCTCAGCAAACTTCCAAGGGGCCTGGTATAACTAAGAATTTGTCTTTTATAATATAATATTTGTATTTTAAATAAGTTTTATTAAAAATAATTTAACTTAATAAAATAAACATGTACAAAATATTATATTTAAATTTAAGTTGTCGTTTTATTTAATTGTAACTTTTTGAATCACAAAATTAATCAATAGTTAAGTGTTGTCATATTTTATTGACACTACTTCTGTCTGTTAATAAACAAATATAAAACAAGAGGAAATGTCTTTGCTAATCGAGGAGCTACAGAACTGATCCACACGGATGCAACTTACAACAAAAATAACAATTTAATTTCCTATTGTTTCAAACTTTATTTATACGTTCATACTTTTATGACATTTTGATCAGTTCACTGTTTTCACTAGTTCACTGTGTTATAAATTGTTATTTACCTCTCTCTCTATATATAGCCTAACTCTCTCTCTCTCTCTCTCTCTCTATTCCACGAGTCTTCTCAAATAAGAAAGCTCATACAAACGGCAGAAATAATAATAATAAAAGTAGCCTATAAAAAGCTGTTTTGTTTCAGAAGTTACACAGCAGGATGAAGGCTGTGAAATTCCAAAAAGGATTTAATGTCAACACAAATAGCCTATATACCTAACGATCCGGCACCAGTGTGAGCTTCTTTTAACTTCAACAAATAGGCTAAATCACGATATTGTATCAGATGGATGCTAGGGGTAAGTCTTGTCAATATAGGCTAAATGTCAATATGAGAATATTGCTTTTTTTCCCCCCCTTTTTCCTTATATAAAACATGAAATATTATTTTGCTTTGCACTATTCTGTTCTATTCTATTCTATTATTAGTAGTACTACATCTACAGCTGCAGTATGCCGTCAAAGGTAGGCTACATTATATGAGAGCAGGCAGGAGAATTACCTATTGAACATGCAATAAACTGCTTGTTTGTGCTCCAATCTCAGCGTCAGCAAAATAAATATCCTTTGACCAACAGCTGACCCAATATAAGCCGTTAACCGTAGTCAGGGCGGGGCATATCAGTTTATAAAACAGCCAGTGAACTGTTAAGTAGCCCGTGTTTACTAAGTTACCCGACCCTCCACAGCTCAGTGTGCTGTGACTGTGACCCGGCCCGGGCAGCTGACTGGACTCAGGAGTCAGGACCATGACGAGCTCAGAGATACTGACCATAGTCGTGCTCTTTACCGTCCTGTGCTCCGGACAAACATCCCAGGAACTCACAGACACACAACTGTCCCAGCAGGAAATGGAGAACGAATTGGTGAGTAGGTAAAACGCCTTTTTATAGCTATCTGTTTGTTTTTCTTTGTAGCGTATTTTTATATAGTGAAACGTGTGGTCAGTTATTATCTGTGAACCAAAGACTGAATAATTGGTTGGTGAAGAGCCATTTTGTGTTTATATTATGTGTTAAGTTAATGTGTTTATATTTTGGCTACATTTTCACTACTTTCATTCATATCTCATTCGGTTGCTTATGGATACTTATGTTTTTACATAGGTTGAGGCTATGACAGCACTTTTGGGAAGATATCAGCCTCATTTACCATCTTCAGAAAAACGTGGCATTCCACAGGTAAATTTTGCTCCATCTCCTTGTTATCTTCATGGTTTTCATATTAGAAGTTATTAAAAGTTTCCTTCAAAACAAACTTGATTATGATCTTCAGATCTAATCATTCTTTCTCTCTCTTCAGTGTGCTGTGGGCTCCCGCTGCGCCATGAGACTGGGCCCACGCTTTGGGAAACTGTGTGAATGTGTCAGAGGATCTAACTGTAACTCATTTCTCCTAAAATGCATCTGAGTCATTAAAAAAGCAGCAAATCCATAATCCTTTCTTGAAGCTGTAAAGTCATGCACCTGAAAGAGGCAGCACGTGGAAATTTGTTTTCTGAATCACTTGTACAAGGTCTATGACAAGCATTCATCAAAACGCAGCATGACAAGCAATAGCAAAGCATGGGTTTAATGTGTTTATTCATTTATATTTTTAATGTTTGTCTTGTGTTATCAATAAACATAGTTATTATTCAGCACATTTTATTGTCTTCATGAATTATGCATGTTTAATACACCCTTAACAAAAAACTTTAAGACTATATTTACTAAAAGACTATAATTACCAATTCTGAAATAGCTTAGTAGTTTCTGGTGGAAAATATCATATTTAAAAAAATAAAATAAAAAAAAAGTTTCAGCAAATATTCAAACTGAACATCTGTCACAAGCAGCTGGATTACACATTGAGAATGAAAATAGATGGTACTTTTCCTCCATAGTGACTCTTACCCATATATATTAGAGAGATGTACTACAAACTAGATATTTTTTTAGTTTTTAGTGGTTATGTGAGTTCCAGCACACCGAAACCTTTTACACCAATTAATTACAATACCAGACACACCACTCTATTATGACAATATTCATATATGTGACCCTGTCTGTGAAATCCAGGCTAAAGTCTCAAAATCTAATTCTGAAATAACAAGCATCAAAGTTTGATTTAAACCATTAATTTCACTATGATTTCAATCTTTGACATGGCCTTAGTCAATATTAAAGATATAAATATTTTCACAGAATGTCCTACATCTTTATGAAGGATGATTTTATGTAGAAAACAGTAAATCACAAAAACATGACTTTAGCTGGGTTTTCACAGGCAGGGTCACATATATGTATAGCCAACAATACATTGTATGGGTCAAAATTATTATTTTTCTTTTATGCCAAAAATCATTAGGATATTAAGTAAAAATCATGTTCCATGAAGTTATTTTGCAAATTTCCTACCGTAAATATATCAAAAATTTATTATCATTAGTAATATGCGTTGCTAAGGACTTCATTTGGGCAACTTTAAAGGCGATTTTCTCAATATTTATTTTTTTGCACCCTCAGATTCCAGAT